CCCCCCAAAAAAAAAAAACAAAAACAATAAACTACTAGAAAACCAGAAGTGGCACTGTGGCTCAAATGGTAGAGTGCTTGCCTTGAGCTTAAGAGTGTAGGAACAGCACCCAGGCCAGAGTTCAAGCCCCATGACCAATCAAAAAAAAATCCTGATTTTAATGTCCTCAATAAGTCTTGATATGGTGATTGTAGCTGCTGTATTGAGAGAATTTTCCAAATATAAAGGTTTGACTGTCTCGGAATTGATGCTTCCTGTTAGATTTCTCGGATGCTGGCAGCCAAGACCGCTTTGGCTATTCGTTATGATGCTTTTGGTGAAGATTCCAGTTCTGCTATGGGAGTTGAGAACAGAGCCAAATTAGAGGCCAGATTGAGAAGCTTGGAGGACAGAGGGGTAAGAGCACATCCTGCTTATTACAGATTACTTGTCAAAAGGTCTTAAATGTGAGAAGTTTCATGAAGGTAGTAGCATAGTTTATTATTTTGTGGAACATTTTGTTATGTGTAATACATATTTTTGTACATTGTTAACAGCTTCTCTCATATTTAAAGTATGTTAAAATGTTTTGACATTAAGTTATAACTATAGAGTAACAAGTATTAGTAATTGTCATTCTTTTTAGATAAGAAAAATAAGTGGATCAGGAAAGGCGTTAGCAAGAGCAGAAAAGTATGAACACAAAAGGTAAGTACATTTTAGAGAGCATGAACAGGTTTTCATTTGAATATTAATTACTGAGAAAATTTTATCAAAAAATACACAACTCTGTCTCATACTGGTAGTGGTAGCTCATGCCCATAATCCTAGCTACCCAGAAGGGCAAGATATAAAGAACAGATTCAAAGCCAGCCTGTGTAGGAAAAGTCTGTGAGACTTTTCTTTTTTTGGTCGGTCATGGAGCCTGAACGATGGGCCTGGGTGCTGTCTCTCAGCTCTTCAGCTCAAGGCTAGCACTGTACCACTTGAGCCACAGCTCCACTTCTGGTTTTCTGGTGGTTCATTGGACATAGAGTTTCACAAAGGCTTTTCCTGCCTGGGATGGCTTTCAACCATGATCCTCAGATTTCAACCTCTTGAGTAGATAGGATTATAGACATGAGCCACTGGCGCCTTTTACTTTTTATATTTTACATATTTTCAAGTTTCACCATAGACAGATATTACATTTTTCTTTTCGTATATTTATTTGACAAATGTGGATCTTTGTTCTTTAAGTCAAGTGATGGTAGCCTGTAAATGTTATAGAGAATAGACTGAAGTTACTTATAGGTCTGCTTAGAAAACATGGCTTACCTTTATTTGTATGTATGAAACAACAATTTTTGAGTTTTTTCAGTTACAGATGATTTTAGGGATTTTCTATGATTTTTGGCTCTTTCAGTGAAGTGAAGACTTATGATCCTTCTGGTGATTCTACGCTTCCAACCTGTTCTAAAAAACGCAAAATAGAAGAGGTAGATAAAGAAGATGAAGTAATTGAGAAGAAAGCAAAAAAATCTAAGATTAAAGTTAAAGGTTAGTGTGCATTAAGAACTTAGTTTTTTGGGTTTTGTTTGTTTGTTTGTCGGGCCTGGGGCCTGAACTCTGGGCCTGGGCGCTGTCCCTCAGCTCTTCAGCTGTAGGCTAGTGCTCTACCACTTGAGCCTCAGCCCCACTTCCCGCTTTTTCTGCTTATGTGGTGCTGAGGAATCAAACCGAGAGCCTCATGCTTGCAAGGCAAGTACTTTACCACTGAGCCACCTTCCCAGCCCCGAACTTAGTATTTTTTGAGACATATCCTCCATTGCATTCGTGCAAAGTTAATGAGCTAATGGTATAAGTATGTACAGTCAAACATTTCAGTACGAGTACAGAGATTGCAATTTCTAATATGTGAGCTGTTTGGTAGTTAGACAAAAAGGAGTGAGAGTTCCTAGTTAAACTAGGGCTTGGGAAGAGGTCTGATAAAATCTGATTGTTGTATCTTTACATTTTTCTCTACTTAGCTGAAGAAGAGGAAGAAAATGTACTCATAGTAGAGGAGGAAACACCTGTAAAGAAGAAGAAGAAGAAAGATAAAAAGAAACACATTAAGGAAGAACCACTCTCCGAGGAGGAACCTTGCACCAGCACAGCAATTTCTGTATGGTTTTTGTTTGTTTGTTTGTTTTGGGGTCCATCATGGGGGCCTGAACTCTAGGCCTGGGCGCTGTCCCTCAGCTCTTTAGCTGAAAACTAGCGTTCTCTACCACTTGAGGCACAGCACCACTTCTGGCTTTTTTTGGCTTATGTGGTGTTGAGGATCGAACCCAGGGACTCATACATGCAAGGCAAGCACTCTACCACTGAGCCACCTTCCCAGCCCCCCATATGTTGTTTTTAATATGAGTATTCTGTGTCTCAGTGGTTTACTCCGCCAGAAATGAGGAGATCTTTGAATAAAGGGCTTTCTTTCATAGAGAAGTAAAATATAAAACTATGTGAATTATAAGGGCAATTTCCAAATTTTTCTACCTGAAAATGTGTTTGCTTTGAGGAAGAAAATATGATCTGTTAAAGCTCACTATATTGGCATTGTTTTCTGCATTTTATTAGGGAAAGTTATTTATACAATTATAGTTTTTTCAAAAGCGTTCTTCTGATTGTTTACAGACTCCAGAGAAAAAGAAGAAAAAGAAAAAAAAGAGAGACACTGAGGACTAATGAAGGGAACCATAAACTGTCACCTGGACACTTCATGTTTATGACTCACTGAGAATATACCAGAAGTGCTCTCCAAATACAGGAGTAGGCTGAATGAAAGTGATTAATCATCCATAGATTTTTCAGACCTTTACATCTTGACATCAACTCAGTTAACTTTACCATGTCATCAATTCTTAGATGTGAAAATAAAAGTATTCTTTGTATATAAGGCAGTTCTGTGATCTCTTTACATTTTAGGTAGAGAATTTTGAGCCTGTAAATTTTGTTTGGCATTTGACGATTGTTTTCTGATCATCATTGCTAAAATGTGACTTCTTAGTGTTTAGTTTGAAGCTTCTCTTTGGAAGGTGGTGATCCATGGGACCAAGTTGAGGACGTTGTTGTGTTTTTACTGCCTTTTTTGGACTTTCTTTCTGTTTATAATCTTTCTGCTTATTTAAATAAAAATATGATTTTTGTTCAAATTTTAAAAGTAGATGTGCAGAAATTTTGGTATCCTTTCACAAAGAAAATACTGTCCTGTAACTTTAGTGCTCACTGTTCTTAAAAATTTGGCAAAATCTTTGCAGGGATACCATTTTTGTTTTCATGAAAGGCCTTAAAGTTGGTTGACAGGTATTCTACCCTGGAGGAATGAGTAAAATCTTGCGATTTTGATTAGGCCACACTGAACCACTGTCCTGTGCATGCATCCATGCCCAGCTTTTTATTAGTTGAAATGATCTCTTAAGTTTTCATGTGAGCTGTCCTTGAACCATAATCTTCCTGGTCTTCTTAAATAGCTGAGAATATAGACATAAGCCTCTGTAACTGGCTGCAACAGAATGATTCTTAATTTATGTCTTTATTATTTGGGGGGAGGGTTCGCTCATGGGCTTGAACTGTGGGCTTAGGCACTCTCCTTGAGCCCTTCAGTTCAAGGCAAGCACTCTTGAGCCACAATGCACCATGGTTAGTTGGAGATAAGAGTCTCAGGAGCTTTCCTTCCCTGGCTGGTTTTGAACCATAATCCTCAGATCTCAGCCTCCTAAGTAGCTAGGATTATAGGCGTGAGCCTCATGCCCAGCTATTTTTATTATTATATATTTATTTTTTGTCTGTCCTGGTGCTTGAACTCTGGGCCTGGGTGCTGTCCTTGTGCTCTTCAGCTCAAGGTGAGCACTCTACCGCTTGAGCCACAGCACCACTTGGTTTTCTAGTGGTTTATTGGAGATAAGAGTCTCATGAACTTTCCTGACCGGGCTGGCTTTGAATCTTTTAACTTAGAATTTGTGGTGCTGAGACTCAAACTCACTGCCTTGTATTGTGCCCCTCTAACTCAAATCACTTTATTTATTTGCCAGTCCTGGGGCTTGAACGGCTCAAGGCTAGCACTCTACCACTTGAGACACAGCCACAGTGCCACGTCCAGCTTTTTCTGCTTATGTGTTGTATAGAGGAGTAGAACCCAGGGCTTCATGCATGCAAGGCAAGCCACATTCTCAGTGTGTGCAGCACTCCCCTCCCTCTCCCACCCCTTATTTTAATTGTGAAAGTACCATACAGAGGGGTTACAAATACATGGGCAAGGTAATGAGTACATTTCTTATCAAGCATTGTTGCCTCCTCCTTTGTTCCCCCCACCCCTTGTACGTCTCATTGTTGCAATGGGTCCACCTGTATCCCTATTTAATAAACAATTTGTTTTTTTCCTTCCCTTCTACAAATTATACCAACATTAAATACAATGATAACGGGTTATACCGTGGGGGAGGGACATATAAAGCAACAAAAATAATCTTATGTTAGAAACAATCACAAGAAAGAAAAAAAAAACATTTGAATCCTCAACTTGGGGTTCATTTTGCTTAACATCAACTTATCTGACCATTTCTGCTTGTCTCATACATATACTAGTTACTGCAAATAAGAAAAACCATGGGACCTGTGTTTCTTTGGGCCTGGCTTACTTAATATAATTTTTTCCAAGTCTGTTTTCCTGACAAATGGGGCAATGTCATTTTTCTGTTGGAGGCATAAGATTACACTGTATACCACATTTTCTTGATCTATTCATCTACTGAGGGGCTTCTGGGTTGGTTCCATATCTTAGCTATGGTAAATAATGCTGCAGTAAACATAGTTGTGCTGGCAGCTTATATGACCAGCAAGTGTGGCCAGCTGGCAGCAAGTATGGCCTTGTTTGTGAATATTTGGGTAAATGCCCAAAAGTGGGATTGCTGGGTCATAGGGGAGCTCTATGGAGTATTTTGAGGAACCTCCATACTTTCCAAAGTGTTTGAACAACAATGTAGTAAGGTTCCCTTCTATACATCCCCTCCAGCATCTGTTGTGTTAGAGTTCTTGATTATTATAGCCACCCCCTCCTGTTTTTATTGGTTTATTTTTGGTGGCAGTACTGGGACTTGAGCCCAGGTTCTAGTGTTTTTGCTCAAGACTGGCGTTCTACTACTTAAACCACAGCTCTACTTACAGGCTTTTTTGGTGGTTAAATGGAGATAAATTTTCTGCCCAGGGAAACTTTGAATTTTGCTCCTCAGATCTCAGCCTCCTGAGTAGCTATAATTATATCAGCATGAGGCACCAGTATCTGGGTCTGGACTTTTTTTTGGGGGGGGGTTCCAGTCATGGGGCTTGAACTCTGGGCCTGGGCACTGTCCCTCAGCTCTTCAGCTTAACGCTAGAACTCTACCACTTGAGCCACAGCACCACTTCTGGCTTTTTTTTTTCTGCTTATGTGGTGCTGAGGAATCGAACCCAGGGCCTCATGCATGCAAGGCAAGCGCTCTACCACTGAGCCACCTTCCCAACCCCCTGGGTCTTGATTATTATTTTTAAATTATAAAGTGGCTTTCTCTCAAGGGAATGCAGAATGCATTTGAGGCAATCTGGGATTAAACCTAAATCTTTGAGCATTGTATTCTAAGCTTTATTCCCAGTCCACTTAACGTTTTTAAGGTAGACAATGCCACCTGGTTAAAAGGAAAACAAGGATGAGCAAAAACTTGTCAGTAGGAATTTGGTATGAGTTGAAACAACAAATAACCAGATTGGCTATATGATTGGTTTTGAAAAGCAGTGCTTAACATGCAAAGAGAAACCTTTTCGACTAATCTGTTGTTACATCTGTAAGCATTGTCATGGTCATTCTGCTGATGGCTAATTTGGCAAATGAATTTGTTCAGTGGAAGAGGCTAAAAAGTAACTCCAGTTTCACTTCATTTACATGACCCCTGCAAGTTAACATTCCCAACTTGTTTATCCCCTTTGGCAAATCACACTAGTAATTGTTAGCTTTAATATCTTGCTTAGCTTGAGATAAAAGTAAATTTTTAAAAATTTTTCTAGTGTTACCATTAAGATAATAGTTAAACAAGGTAGAGTACATTTACTTTTGAAAAATGTCTCCCCTTCTATTGCTCTCTCCTAGAGGTTTACATTTTGGTTGTGTTTGGTTTGTATATGTTCTGGTTCTGGCGCTTGAAGTGCAGGCCTGGGTGCTGTCCCAGAGCTGCATTTGCTCAAGGCTAAATCTCTACCACTTAAGTCACAGCTCTAATTCTGGCCTTCGGGGGAGTCATTTATTGAAAAGTAAGAGTCTTAGAGAGTTTCCTACTCAGATGGCTTCAAACAGTGATCCTCAGAGCTCAACCTCCTAAATAGCTAGCATTCATTATAGGTGTAAGTTACTGGTGCCTGGCAAGTGTGTATGTATACACATGCTGATACTAGAGATTGAACTCGGACTTCCTTGACTTTTTCTCTCAAGGCTGGTGCTCTGCTACTTCTAGGAGTTCAGGCATGAGCCGTGGGCACCTTACTCTAACATTTGCAGATAGTAGGAGTGCCAAGAGGATGATGTGGTCAATAGCTTTACATCTGCCAGGCACAGTTCAAAGCCAGCCTAAGCAGCAGAAAAGGCCAGGGGATGTTTACCTTCAATTAACCACCAAAAAGCCAGAAGTGAAGCTGTGGCTCAAGTGTTAAGAACGTTCACCTTGAGTGCAAAAAACTGGTGGAGAGTGCCCAGGCCCCTAAATTCAATCCCTGAGATCTACATACTCACACCCATAATCTACTTTCTCAGGAGGCTGAGATCTCTGGATTGCAGCTGAAAGCCATCCCCTGCAGGAAACTGAGACTTAAATATTTATAAGGCCTTGACATAGTTGGGGTCTTGTGAGCTCTTGCTCGGCTTTTTCATTCATGATTGACAATACTTGAGCCACACTTTCTTTCTGTCAGTTGAGCTCCAAGCCTGGGCACTGCTCTGAGCTAAAGGCTAGCTCTCAACCACTTTGAGCCACAGTGCCACTCCCCATTTTTAGTAGTTAAATTAGAGATAAGTCTCACATACTTTTGATCTTCTACTCACTATCTCAGCCTCCTGAGTATCTAGGATTACAGACATGAGCCACTGGCCCAGCATTGAGCCAGACTTCTAATTTGGCATTTTGCTGGTTAATTGGAGATGTCTGTAGACTTCTACCTGGACTTGCTTCAAACCACAATCCACTAGTTCTCTGCCTCCTGATTAGGTAGGATTACAAGCCTAAACCAATCAGCAAGACCAAGTTTGTACTTTGTCCCAAGTCTCCTACTTTGAATAAGGACTATTGCCAAGTCAAGGGGTTTTTGTTTGTTTTTGTTCATCCGTAGGAATCACCTAAAAATGTTTATAAAATGTAAATAGGTTTCTTGTCCAGATTGAGTGAGACCAGTGATTCCACATTTTTTAGCATGCTTCAGGTAGCATGAGATGATCAAGGCAGCAAGAATACTAAAGTAAATTACAGGGCTGGGAAGTTGGCTCAGTGGTAGAGTGTTTGCCTTGCATGCATGAGGACCTGGGTTCGACTCCTCAGCACCATGTAAGCAGAAAAAAGCCAGAAGTGGCACTGTGGCTCAAGTGGTAGGGCACTAGCCTTAAGCTGAAGAGCTGAGGGACAGCGCCCAGGCCCAGAGTTCAGGCCCCACAACCGACAAAAAATAATAAGGGCTGAGAGGGTGGCTTAGTGGTAGAGTGCTTGCCTCTCATGCATGAAGCCCTGGGTTCAATTCCTCAGTACCACATACACAGAAAAAGCCAGAAGTGGTGCTGTGGCTCAAGTGGTAAGAGTGCTAACCTGGAGCCAAAGAAGCTCAGGTAGAGTGCTCATGCCCTGAGTTCAAGCTCCAGGACTGGCAAAAAAAAATTATATAT